AGCTCTGTTGAAACCTGTCTACCATGGGTGACCCTGCTGGTATTTGAAATACTGGGGACACAGCTTCCGGTATCACAAGCAAGCCACTGCAGTGGGGACAACTTGGGAGATTACACTGATTAAGTTTCAAATATCAAACCAGCCTTGAACCCTTGGAATAAACCCCACTTGGTCATGGTGTATAATTTTTTTTATATATTGCTAAATTCTATTTGCTAATATTTTGTTAAGGATTGTCTGTATTCATGAGGGATATTGTTATGTACTTTTCTTTTTTAGGTGTGTCTTTGTTGAGTTTCAGCATAGCGTGATGCAGGACTGGGCAACATTTTATTCTGTTATACATAAGGTTGCTATGAGTCAGAGCCAACTCAACGGCACCTAACGACAACAACAGTACAGGGTAATACTGCTTCATAAATGATTGGGAAATGTTCCCTCCTGTTCTATTTTCTGGAAGATAATTGTGTAGAATTGGTGTTTTTCTTTAAATGTTTGGTAGAATTCTCAAGTGAAACCATTAGCGCCTGGAGTTTTTTTGTTTTTGTTTTTAATAGTATACCACTTCTTCTGGCTTCCATGGTTTCTGATGGATCAGCCTTTGCATACGTGTATACCTGGGTACCGACCACCAGATGAAACATTTCTAGTGCCTCAGCAGGCTCCCTATCCCTGGAAGGAATACATTCATTTATATATTTAAAAAGTCAGGCTGGCTGCTAGGTAGAGAATGGATTGGTAGGCAGCAGAGGAGGGAGTGGTAGCTGGGAACTTCATGGGTACCATCCTCTGTTCCTTGTGGCCTGTGAGGGGTGGACCATAGGAGGGTGGCCTCTGGAGGTTAGCCTGTGGGAGGTGGTGGTGGCCTGGTCTCAGGGCTTAGTGGATTGCTCCCAAGTCTGCTCAGGTCTCTAGGCTGACCAAGTCCCTCCACTTTGGCAATCAGGGGTCATCAGTTAGGGCTGAGCAGCCTGGGCCTGTCTGATCTGAATGGGTAACCCCTGCTCCTCTTTCTCCCACCAGCCTCATTTTCAGAAAGCAGAAGCACTTTCAAGTATTGGACATTGTCTTGCCTGTCCTCTGAGGTCAGCTGTTAATTTCCTGTTACCTAATCTCACTCCACAGTGACTCAGCATTCATTTCATGAACTATATGCGCTTGTGGATTGCTAAGGGCGTAGTTTCTGAGTTGGTTTAGTTTTGCCTAGCCTTGGATTGTGGGTCTAAGGGGCAGCAGTTGGCCAGGGGTTTGAGAGAGGAAGGGCAGGCACTGTGTGTGAGCACATGTGCGGGTAGAGAGAGAATGGAGAACGGAGGCTTGGCTGTGAATCCCAGCTCTGATGTTTCCTAGCTCAGTGGTGTTGGATAAGTCATTTGGGTGTCCTCGATTTGCTCAACTGTAAAATAGAGCCAGTATTGCCATCTTTGGAGGAATGTGGAGATTCTGTGGTGTAAAGGACTCAGCATAGAGTAAGGAGCCCAGGTACCATGTGTGATTATTACTGTCAGTGTAAAAATTAACTGAAAGCTGTGCTTCTTTATCTGTTGGGCCTCTGTCCTCATACCTACCCACTGAAGTCCCGCTTCTGCAGGAGTCTCTTGGTTTTTTATTTGACAAGGAAGAAGGGGTGAGGCCTTGGAAGTCTGGGGGCCAAGGCAGGGCAGGGATGACGCCTGGGGGCAGGGGAGGATCTGGGCGTGGTGAGGTGCGTGGCCCAGGCTTTCCTCCAAGGCTGATTAACAGCTGTCATTTACTGAGCATCTACTGTAAACCTCCCAATAACTCTGCAAGGGGGCAATTATTGTCTTCAGTATTATTGCTTAGGAAACTGAGACTGGGACAGGGGAAGCGACTTGGCCCAGGGCAGAACCAGAATTTGAATCCAGGCCTGTCGCTGCTAAAGCCTGGTTCTGCCCAGTGCCCCACATGACCTTTCTGGTCTGAGCTGCATGAAGACTGTCTAGGCCAGCTTGCTAATGGATACCTGTATGCAGAGACCTGGCTGCAGCTGACTCCTGACCTTGTCAGTCTGGCTGCCTATCAGACCAGCTTTGAGGTGCTGCCTCTCACTTCCAAGGCCTAGGCCCAGCTGGGCAGACTCTGTGGGTGGGAAGTTTGCTCCAAGGGGCCAGCTGGCCAAGTCTCTCAACCTCCTGGTTGACTGCCTGGATGCTTGAGACCCAGGGGCATGAAGGGGGAGAGTGGGAATCAGGTGGTACAGAGGAAGAGGAAGGTCTGGCTGGAGCCAAGCCCAGACTCTGATTTTGGTGATGGGAGGTGACAAGTCTAGTGTCCGCTGTCTCCTGCCCAACCCCACGAGCTCAGGGACTGGCCTCCGTGGCTCCTGTCTGTTCCTGCTGTGTGTCCAGTGGCCCTCCCTCTGATGCCTGGGCCATGGCTCAGCATGGGTGACCCCTATAGCCCCTCCCGGCCTCTCCATCTCAGCCCTGCCCTCTAATCTGTCATCTCACAGTGTCCAGAGTGGTTCAGGCCAGTGTTACCTGCGGGCCAGCAATCAATGCAGGCACACCTGTGCTTAATGCTCTGAGGTCACCACCTTGAAATTCTTAATCATTTTGCCTTTGAGTTTGTGTTTTATAAGTGAAATCAAATGGAAAAATGGAGCATGCACTGGGGGCTTGGATCCAGCTCACTAAGATGCCTTCCCTCACCATAGCCTACGACTGCTGCCCCTTCCACCCCAGGCCTGAACATAGGCTCAAGAAGGATTGGGATCCCTTGGGTTGGCCCTGGCAACTGTAGACCCGAACCTCAGCGGGGCCTCGCCTACCCCACCCCAGGTGTTGGCACGTTGCAGCATGCAGCTGCAGCCCCATGGGCTTGCCTGTCTGCTGTGGGCTGGGGTGGTAGGCCTGTGGGAAGGGGCCCTGCAGTGTCATTTTGCATGGCACCAGTCCTGAGCAACACGCTTCTGCAGCACGCTAGCTGGAGCCCCCCAAGACCCTGTTGCCAGAGGCCCCACGTCCTGCAGATCCAGGCCTTGGTGTTCCAGCTGCCCGGACTCCTTCAGTCCTTCCAGGGGTCACCCCCCCTTGCCTCTGGGCTCTCGCACCTGTGGTTTGCTGGGCCTGGAACAGCCTTTCCTGCCTCTTGGCTCATGGGGACAGCGCTAACAACATCCCCCTGCCATCACAGAGCTGCTTTCCCTGCTTGATGCTTTGCATCCCCACAGGAAGGGGCGTGGGGAGGGCCGGGGTCTGTCTATCTTGTTCCCAGGTGTGCCCCCTGTGCACTTACTAGACCAAAGCTGACTGCCTGGATCTCCTTCCCCATCTTTGCCTGGAGATAGAAAAATGAGGCTCAGAGAGGACATCTACCTGCCAGAGACAGAGCTATAATCTGAGTACACAGCCTGTACTCTCCCTTCTGCCCTTCTGTCCAAGACATGAAGCAGAACTTGAAAAGACCCTCCTTTGTGCCCAAAGCAGAATGGTGGGCACTGTCCTGCTCCTCCCAGGAGTAAGGCCTTGCTACCCTGACAGAGGACAGGAAGGAGGTAAAATTGCCGGCATTGCGTCTCTGCCTGATTCAGCTCCACGAACAGGTCCTCCAGTAAGCTAGTGCAAGAGACTGAGATGAACCAAATCCCACCAGCTCCCAGGGTCTCCCAGCCAGGTACCAACCCATCTTATCCCCTACCCCCTCTGCAGCCTAGTCCCTAGTCCTTTATGTACCTACTCTCTGGAGGGGACTCTTACCTCCATTTTATAGATGAGGGGATGGAGTGCAGAGATGAGGTGAAGTACCCAGGGCCACACAGGTCATAAGGGTTGGCTGGGACTCCAGCCCAGATCATCCTGGCTCCAAACCCGGGTGAAGGAAAGACCACAGCCAGTCAGCGGCAAGGCAGGGAGGCCTCAAGGAGGAGATGGTGCCTGAGCTGGGCCTTGGGGAATCTCCCAGGGGGATGATGAAGAACAGCATCCCAGGCAGAGGGAACACAGAGCAAAGGTTGGACAGCAGGGATGTGGTGAGGCAGAAGGCTGGGGGGAAGAGTTCTGGCCTGCCGGTGGGAGGTGTTGAATGCCAGGCCAGGTCTCAATGTGATGGCCGCAGGGACCCACCGAGGTGTTGGGCAGCATGAGGTCAGTTGTGCTTGGAGAGGAGGTTTATTCTGTCTGTTCACTGGCTGTGCCCTGGGGAGTGGATGGAGGAGATGGGAAGCCCAGGCAGTCAGAAGTTCAAGGCCAGAGGTGACACCTGTCACAAGCATGACACAGGTGAAAGCCACTGGAAGGGAAGACACCAGTGGACATGCAGCTGATTTCAGGGAAGCTGGGGAGAAAGGGGCCCGAAGGGCTGGGAAGGGCACCAGTGAGATTCTGGGGGTGAGTGATGGCCAGATTCTTGTAGCATGGAGGCATCAGGGCCCTGCACATAGTAGGTACTCAGTATATGTTTATCACATGAGTGGACGAGGAGCTCTCCAGCTCTAGTGCGACTGGCACCCCGGTGTGCTCCCCTATCTCCAGCACCTCTCCTCCTTGCCCCCTGCTCTGTGGCCCCAGGAAAAAAACCCAGCTAGCCAGCAGGCGTGGTGCTGCCCATGGTTCCACTCAGAGTCTGCCAGTGAACTCATATTGCTGTCTCCTCCCCCTCCCTGTCCTTATCTTCCCCAGGACTTGGTCTCCATGGCGACTCACCACCTTGGCTTGCCTGCATCCCAGCCTCTGCCAGAATTCTGAGCTAGGCTCCTTCCCTCCCTCTTCCGGGGCCCTGGTACCCGCAGTCCTTGTCTCCTCCCTCTGGGGTGAGGCCAGAGGCAGCCCCCTCTCTTCCCGACTGTTACACTCATTTTCCAGCTCGAATCTGAGTCAGGAAGACAGGGAACTAGCTCCTCTGGGAAGACCTTCTCCTAGCCCTGCCCCCACCTTCCACCTGCCACAGCCCTTCCAGGAGAAAAACCATCCTTGCCGGCTGGTTGGAGGTCTCTTGGGCCTCCTCCTCTGCATCCAGACCCTCTCCCAACTCCATCTCCCATGCCGAGGCCCATCTTGTCAGTCATTTCCTTTTGTCATCGGCTTGGCAGACAGGCAAGTCTTTAAACCTGAGACCTGGAGAAGAGGCTGGGGGTGGGAAGAGGCCACCTGGGAATGAGGAGATGGGTCTGGGAGGGAGAATGAGGGGCCACTGAAAACCTGGATTAAGATAGCATCCTGCACTCCGTTCTTTTTAATTTAAAAAAATTTTTTTTCCAAGGAGAGAAAATGGAGCTTCGTGGGAGGCACCAGCAACAGTTCGTAAGTAGCAGGACCTGCAGGGATTGGTGGTGCAGGGGGGCTGGATAGTCAGAGCAGGGGGATGGTGCAGGGGGTCTGGGTAGTCAGAGCAGGGGGATGGTGCAGGAGGTCTGGATAGTCAGAGCAGGGGGATGGTGTAGGGGGCCTGGGTAGTCAGAGCAAGGGATGGTGCAGGGGGCCTGGGCAGTCAGAGCTGGCGATGGCTGGCTGGGGAGTGTGAGGTCCGTGGTCACGCCTCTGGAAGCTGTCCGGGGGAGCAGAGGCTGTATCTGTGAGGCTGTGGAGGAAGGAGGGACAGGGAAACAGGTGGATGTTGCCGGGAGGCAGATTCTAGCTCAGAGCAGGAGTGGGAGAAATTTTCTAAGAACCAGGGCCATCTGCCCAGTGCAGGATGGGCTGCTCGAGGCATCAGGGCGCTCTCGCCCCCGCTCCTGTCCCCACAGCAAGGGCCATGTTTAAGCTGCTTCCAGGATTCTGTAGGGGCATCTCTCCTGGGGGGCCCAGTGGAGGTCAGTGGCTCCTGGGAGAACCTTTGCAGCAGAAGGCAATGGGATTTCAGTGAACATTTGTGCCAGCAGCCCGAGGAGGCAGATGCTATAACCTCTCCACTTGGAAAATTAGGGAGCTGAGGCCAAGAGAGGCAGAGGAGCTTGACCAAGGCTGTATAGCCAGGCTGCAGCAGAGCCAGGGTTTGATCCAGGCATTCTTGCTCTTGGATCATGCCTGTCACTGCTCTGCTGTGCCAACTCTGGGGTCCCCAGGTCCCGGGATGTGAGTCAATGAGGAATGGATGAAGCTTGACCTCTCTGGGAGCAGCTGTACCTGTCCCTGGAAACCCCAGTGAACTAGAGGCAGCACAGAGGGGTGCAGAGCAGAGTCAGGTCCCCACTAAGCTATCAGCCTGCCCCGCAGATCCCTGTCCTGAGCCCCCTGCACCAACATCCTGCTTTCAAAGGCCTGTTTTGTCGTTTAGGCCCCGCTCACCATTCCCCAAGTTGGAGCTGGGCCTGGTGTCCCTGCCCACGGGCACCTGGGAACTCCCAGCCTGCGCCATCTGCCTGGAGAGGCTGCGTGAGCCCGTGTCGCTGGACTGTGGCCATGACTTCTGTGTTCAGTGCTTCAGAACGCACCGTGCCCAGGGCTGCCAGCCACCCTGCTGCCCCGAGTGCCGCAAGATATGCAGGCAGAAGAAGGGGCTTCGCAGCTTGGGGGAGAAGATGAAGCTGCTGCCACAGAAGCCGCTGCTCCCTGCAGTGCAGGTCTAGGACCAGGCCTTATCACTGGTGGGGTACAGAGAGGGCTCTGGGTCTGATGAGAGGAGGTGGGTGGCTTTGGCCCTGTTCTAGAATGTCATCAGGGTGGGGAACACAGTTCCAGGTTGAAGTCTGATTCCCAGCCCTGGGTGCTTGGGGAACCCTTCTTCCTCTCCCACAGGAGACATGTGACGTGAAGGCCGAGCCGCTGCTGCTAGTGCGAATCAGTGCCTCCGGGGGCCTCATCCTCAGGATGGGGGCCATTAACCGCTGCCTGAAGCACCCCCTGGCCAGGGATACTCCCGTCTGCCTCCTCGCCATCCTAGGGGAGCAGCGCTCGGGGAAATCCTTCCTCCTCAACCACTTGCTCCAGGGCTTGCCAGGCCTGGTGAGGAGGCAGGTGGCGGGGAGGCGGGCACCAGTTTGGCTTCTGGGAGGGAACGGGGCCTGGGACCCTGGAGATGGGAATAAGGAATGGACCAGCTAATGCTGCCCCTTCTTTCCCTGCAGGAGTCTGGCAAGGGTGGCTGGCCGAGAGGAGGGGGGCCCCTGCAGGGGCTCAGTTGGGGCGCCAGTAGCCTTACCAGGGGCATCTGGATGTGGAGCCGCCCCTTCCTGCTGGGGAAAGAAGGGAAGAAGGTGAGGCGGAGAAAGGGAAGAGCCAGGGCAAAAGCTGAGATGGACAAAGAGGAGGGCAATCAAGAAAGAAATCCTGGGAGTAAGGGCAGGGTGGAGGAAGAATGAGGCAGACCTGACCCCTGGCTGGTCCCCCCACCCCCCCATAGGTGGCTGTGTTCCTGGTGGACACTGAAGGCGCCATGAGCCCTGAGCTGAGTAGAGAGACCAGGACCAAGCTGTGTGCTCTCACCACCATGCTGAGCTCCTACCAGGTGGGGCCCTGGGGTGCAGGCAGCCCCTCCCCACAGTTCCCCCTCCAGCTGTGACAGCTGTCTCAGCTGGGTCTGCCCTCAGCTCACGGTGAAACTGAGGAATGAGATGCTCCCAGTCTATAAAGGTGGGAGCACCGCTGTTTGAAGGATGGGTCAAAGGTCCCTGGGAACAGCTGAGGTCTGGTCTGTAGGGTCGTGATCCCATCTCAGCTTGCCTTCCTTTTGGTCTGTAGGGTCGTGATCCCATCTCAGCTTGCCTTCCTTACCTCAAGGCAAGCACAACCCCGTGGTTTGGGAGGCCACACTGGGTCTCTCCCATGTTCTGAGGCCCACAGACTGTCTGGGGGCTTCCTCCCCACCTGGGTTTCCCAGTCTCACTTTGCCTTTCCAGGCCCACTTTCATCTTGTTGCTGTCCTTGGTTCCAGATCCTCAACACCTCCCAGGAGCTGAAGGATAGAGACCTGGAATACCTAGAGGTTAGGAGACATCTCATTTTTGGGGGGCACCACCCCACTCCTGCTCTGGCCATACGGCCAGGGGACTGGACTGGGTTTATTAGGTCCCTTCCAGTTCTGACCTAGGTTGTATGCCACTTGAACTGAGTTGGCGAAGCCCAAGGTGCCTGCTTTGGGGAGAGGCAGGAGAATCTTGGAGCTGGGAAATGGGAAGCTCGGTCCCTACAGTGGGTATAGGGCTAGGGTGTGCCATAGTCCTCAAAGTGGCCCCACTGTGACTCTACCTGTGCCCCGCCCCAGATGTTTGTCCATGTGGCGGAGGTGATAGGCAAGCACTATGGGATGGTTCCAATCCAGGTGAGACACCCCTTTCTGGAGTCCTCATCCCCAGACCCAGACACCCCCAGCAGCCGGTGTTAGGGCCCCTTCTCTCCCCTTATCTCCCAGCATCTGGATCTCTTAGTTCAAGACTCATCTCGCCCCAAAAAGGCAGGGCCGGGGCACGTGGGTGACATCATCCAGGTGAGAGGTGCAGAGGGAGGGGGTGCCTGGCCTCTGGGAGGGGAGGGGGCTGGTGGGCAGGGCAGACTTTGGGGGGAGCTGGGAGGGGTCCTAAGAACAGGAGGCTCAAAGCGTTTCTCAATCCTCAGAAGTTATCGGGCAAATACCCCAAGCTTCAGGTACTGCTTCAAGGGAAACAAGCTCGTTGTTACCTCCTGCCTTCTGCAGGGAGGCGGTGGGTGGACGAAGGCCATGGAAGTCCTGGTGGTGAGTGTCCCCTGGAGCAAAGGCCTCCATGTCCTGTTCCCCACTGCCCCTGCTTGGCAACCCCAGCCAGCACCCTCCTAGTGTCCAGCTTCTCGCCCCAGAGCCCATCACACCTCAGCCCTGTTTCCCCCTCCTCAGACCCAGAGGAGGATTTTGGCAGCCTTCTTCACGCCTACGTTGTGGATGTGCTGAGTACAGCCCCCCAGCATGCCAAGAGCCGCTGCCGGGGGCCCTGGAGTGAGGGACGAGCCATTGCCCGGGGGGACAGATGCCTGCTCACTGGCCAGCAGTTAGCTCAGGAAATCAAGGTACAGAAACGTTCCTCCCCCTCAGCCCTCAGCCGTTGCTGCCGCCCTGACCCCTTCAACCTCTCTGCAGAACCTCTCAGGCTGGATGGGGAAGACAGTGCCCAGCTTCACCTCTCCGGAAGAGGTAGGCACTCCCAGGAGGATGATGGGGCCCGGAGGGAGGACGTTGGGGGCTGGGAGGGAGGATACTATGCTGGAGGGAGGATGCTGTACTGGAGGGAGGATCCTGGGCCAGGAAGCAGGACACTGGGCTGGGAGGGAGGACTCAGGGCCGAGAGGGGCTATGCCAAGGTCTTGTGGAAGCCAGTTTGCTCTGGGAATGGAGGTGAGGAGCAGCAGCCTATCTGGCTGAGGAGGAAGGAGGACAGCAGCTTGGCTTTCTCTTGGACAGATGGCTGCCCAGCTTCATGACCTAAGGCAAGTGGAGGCTGCCAAGAAGGAATTTGAGGAGTTCGTGAGGCAGCAGGTGAGACTAATGGGAGCCAGGTGGGCCACGCTGGGAGAGGACTCCCGGGTCTCCTGCTTGGGACCATTCTTTTCAACCCCCATCCCAGGACTTGGCTACCAAGCGCATATTCTCTGCCCTCCGGGTGCTGCCCGACACCATGCGAAACCTGCTTTCTGCGCAGAGAGATGCTGTCCTGGCTCGGCACAGTGTTGCCTTACTGTGCCCAGGGAGATCTCAGACCTTGGAGGCCTTGGAGGCGGAGCTGCAGGCCATGGCCAAGGTCTTCATGGACACGTATACGGTGCGGTTCTGTGGCCACCTGGCGGCTGTGGGGGGTGCTGTGGGTGCCGGGTTCATGGGCCTGGCAGGCGGGGTGGTGGGTGCAGGCATGGCAGCAGCAGCTCTGGCTGCAGAGGCTGGCATGGTGGCAGCTGGAGCTGCAGTGGGGGCCACGGGGGCCGCTGTGGTAGGGGGCAGTGTCGGTGCTGGGCTGGCTGCCACCGTAGGCTGCATGGAGAAGGAGGAGAATGAGAGAGTGCAAGAAGGGGATCAAGAGCCCCTTCTTCAGGAAGAGTAGGAGGCCTGAGGAGACGTTAAAGGGAGGGAAAGATGTGGGGGTGGGGGTGGGGAGGGGCTTCAAGGGGCCCAGATGTACCACTCTGCCCTGGTTGAATGCCCAGAATCCGGGTGGCTCCAGGGACTTGGGAAGGGTGTCCCTGGGATGGGAGGTAGCGTTTGTGGGTGGAGACCCATCTCTGCTTGTAGATGATTGCTAATCTGCCATCCTTTCCAGATATACTTGAACCCAGGGTTTCCTGCCACCAGGAGGCCCCACCCTCCCAGTCCTGCTTGTATTATAGGAAGGTCAAAGCGTCTCCTTCCTGGAAGCCTGCCCTTGGGTCAAGTGACCTCAGTGTTGAGGGGCTCAGGGAGGAGGGAGAAGGAGGAAAAGACTGGGTTGGCTGTCACCATGGTCTGCATGGTGAAGGAGGAGGATGAGAGGGTGCAGGATGGGGATCAAGAGCCCCTTCTCCAGGAAGAGTAGAGGGCCCCAGGAGGCATTAAAGGTGGGGGAGGTGAAAGAGATAGAGTATGGTGGACAGTGGCTGAAACCACAGAGCAGAGAAACCTGCTTCGAGAACCCTTCCCAGAGCTGCTCCAGGTGGCTTCTTGGCCCCTCCCACGTTCTCCACTGGCCCTGGGTCCCCAGAATCTGTATATATGCCTTGAACTGCCCCACCCTCCTGGTAGACTGGCCACTGCTGGGTATGTGCCCTTGGCAAGCAGAAGGCAGAGTGCCAATGCCCTTTGTGGAATGCCACACAGCAACAGGTTAAATGCCAGAGAGTAAAAACTTTGATTGCATTCGGAGCTCAGCCAGGCAGCCTTTATATTAGTACCAGTACCAGTTGCTGTTGAGTCAACTCCAACAGAGCTAGAAAGAACTTTTGTCTTCTACTTCCCCCACTCACCCCACTGGCTCTTTGAGCAGATGAGGAGATAGAGGCCAGTGAGGAAGTCTCTGCAGAGACAAGATGAGTAGTACCAAGTGGCCTTGGTCATGTGCTTTATAACTTACAAAGGTTTTCCCAGGCATCCTCTTCCTCAACCCTTGAAATTGTCCCATACAGTACGTATGATACCCATTTTTACAGAGGAGAAAGCTCACCAGGGGTGATGTATCTCAGTTGGAACCGCTAGTCAGAGATAAAGGCAGGACTTGAACCCCAGATTCTGATGTCAAATCCCTTGCTTAGGTGAACCTCTGCTCCCCAGGTCACTCCAAGACCTGACTTCTGTGTTCTAAGCTTCCTGGGCTTCCAGTGCAGGTTCTGTAATTCATGAGTGACCAAGCAACTGTGTGACTGCTCAGCAGAGTGTGGGGGTTTGGATGGTTTCCCTTCTATGATCTGCTGAAGGCCACCAACTCCAAGATTCTCATGTGACAAATTTCTGGATGAGGAATTTGGTGACCTAACTTACGGTTCCCACTTCTGAGGCCTCATGTTGAAGATGTCAGCACCACAGACACAAAGCATCTGGATCCTAAGCCACTGACTGCATGGAGCAGAAGCTGACTACACCAAACCATGGCATGAGCAAGAAATAAACTTTTATTTTATCAACTGAATGAAGTATATAGGTTTACTTGTTACTGCACCATAGCCTAACCCACCCTAGCTAGTACAAAGATTTCTTCCTTGAAATGGCGGATGTTGTAACAAAAACGCATCACTGGTTGGGTGGTGGGTGGTAAGGAGACACTGCTGGGCCCATTTAACGTGGTAACAAAATGCTTGGTAAAATTGTTGCCTACAATGACTTCGAAGGCAGACCGAGTACTGTGGAGGAAAAATTAAAATCTCCTGCCAATCCAGACAATCCTCTCGACAAATGTAGAAAAGAAAGAAAACAGTTCTATTATTGAATGAGCACTCAACCAGACTTCAATGTACATCACAGGTAATTGGCTAATGAACTTGACGGCAGAAAGAAATCCCACCCTGTTTAGATAGCGGAGCAGATGCAGTATGTTACACATGTGTTCTCAGTTATTACATGTATGTTCTCATGTGTTGTGTGTTATTACATCCATACTCGCATGTGTTTTGTGTTACTACACACATGTTCTCATGTATTGTGTCATTACACGTGCTCTCATGTATTGTGTCATTACACATGTGCTCTCATGTATTGTGTGTCATTACACATGTGATCTCATGTTTTGTGTATTATTACACACGTTATCATGTATTGTGTTATTACACACATGTTCTCATGTATTGTGAGTTATTACATATATGTTATTATGTGTTATTACATGTTATCATACATGAGGACTTGTTCTCATGTAAGAAAGCTTGATGGCACAGTTGGCTCTACAGACTTTTAAAGTTCACCCTAAACTCACCTGGTAATTGGGGTTGCATCTCTGCTAGTTAAGTGCCTTTATCTGAGGGAAAAATGAAACTTCCTATATCTCCGTGACAAGATAGTCTGGGTTGAACTGTCATGGTTACAGGTAGATGGGGTACTCTCTTCCTTGATGTTTACATTCCAAAGAGATGGCTCCCAGCAGAGGAATGGATAAACAAAATTTGGTATATCCATGCAATGGAATATTAGTCAACCATGAAGAAGAATGACGTTCTGACACATGCTACCACATGGATAAATTTAAAAACTTTATACTGGATGAAATGAGTAAGACATAAAAATATAAGTATTGCACAATCCCACTTATATAAAATAGCTGGCAAATACATAGAGACAAAAATTTATTAATGGTTTTCTTAGTTATCTAGTGCTGCTATAACAGAAATACCACAAGTGGATGGCTTTAACAAACAAATTTATTTTCTCACAGAAGACTGGAAGTCTGAATTTGGCTCTGGGGGAAGGTCCTTGTCCCTTCCGAGCTGCTGCTCCTAGGCATCTTCATGTGGCTTGGCATCTCTCTTTCCCCGTCTCCCCTCTGCTTGCTTGTTTAATCACTTTTATATCTCAAAAGCGATTGACTCAAGACACACTGTACACCAATCCTGTCTCATTAAAATAACAAAGACAGTCCATTCCCAAATGGGATAACCACGGGCATAGAGGTTTGGAATTACAACACATTTTTGGGGGACACAATTCAATCCATAGCATTTATTACCAGGGGCTGAAGGAAGAGGGGATGCTGAAGGTGCACTGAGTTTCTGTTTGGGGTGATGAAAAACTTCTGGAAATAGAAAGTAGCAATGGTTGCACAACATGGTGAGTGTAATTAATGTCACTGAATTCTACACTTAAAAATGGTTAAAATGGCTGTGATGGTTAAGGTTGTGTGTCACCTTGGCTGGACCATGATTCTCAGTGGTTTGGCAGTTATGTAGTTATGTAATGATTAATCACTTTCATGATGAGAGCAGATATAGTGTAATCACCTCCATGATGAGATCCGCTATAAGCACCCAATCAGTTGAAAGGGAGTTTCCTTGGGGGTGTGGCCTGCATCCAATATATGTGGACTTTCTGGGAAAGCTTGTGGCTTTTGCTTGCTTTGAATCCTGCAATTGGCTCATCATCATCTAACCTCCAGTTCTTGGGACTTGAGCCAGCGGCCTGCCATCTAACTTGCCAATCTTGGGTTCATCAGCCCTTGCAGCTACGTGAGTGAAGAGAAGCCTCCAGCCTGACACCTGACCATGGACTTGGAACTTTCCCGCCTCTACAACTGGAAATTTCCTTGATGTAAATTTCTCTCTATCTACTTATATGTATACACACACACACACATATACATACTTCTCTGGTTTTGCTTTTCTAGAGAACCCAGCCTAAGACAATGGCAAAGTTTTTGTTGTATGTATTCTACCACAGTAAAATTAAAGAGAGATGGCTCCCAGGCCCTTAAGAAAAACATTATTGGCTTATAATGCTGGCAAGAGGCTTACTTATTATTAAAAAGCTTTACATCCATATGAAAGGGACACAGGAAGCTAATGTGGCCAGATTCGCCATCTTAGACTACAGCCACCAAAGAACACAGACATGGAGTATGGGAAGGCAACTTCATGGAGCTCCCAACAGGAAACAGAGTACCTGGTAACCAGGGATACATACTTTCCCATCTCCACCCCCTTCCCTGTACGAGGCCTCCCCTGCTTGCCAACGGGCCATGGTTGTTCGGCAGGAGAGATACCAGCTCACCGCTGCCTGGATTTGCCGTCTTGGACCTCAGCCACCAAGGACTTCAGACAAGGAGTATGGGAAGGCAACACCACAGAGCCCCAGCAGGAGACAGAGCATCTGGTAATCAGGGATACATGCTTTCCCACCCCCTATTCTTCACACTATGTGGCCTCTGCTGTTTTCCAACAGGCCATGGTTGCTCTGCCACAGACACACAAGCTCACTGCCACTGGGATCTGCCCTGCCCCCACTGGCTGGCCCTTTCAGTGCCATTTTCTTGTTTGTTTTTGGTTTGTGTTTTTGCTTGTTTGTTTCTTGATATTGTTTTTTGGCTTTTTGTTGCTTCTCACTCTCCTTTTCCTTTCTTCTGCCCAGCTAGCCACATGTGCCATCCCCTCCCCTTCTTGACAGGCTGTGATTTTTTGGTTGGTTTGCTTTGTTCTTTCATTTTTCTTCTTTTTCTCTGTTTCTTCTCTCTCTCCCCTTTCCTTTCTTTCCTTTCTCACACCCACTCAGCCCTGTGCACCACCCTCACCCCTTCTTGAGGGGCCATGTTGCACAGCTTGGTTGGAGAGTCACTGTGTGCAGCCTTCCTGGGTCTGTGCTGCTGTCATCGACCAGCTCCCTCTGCACCGTTTTATTTATTTATTTTTGTTATTGTTTCTTCTCTCTCTCTCCTTTCCTTCCTTTCATTTATTCCATCCACCCAGCCCTGTGCACTTCCCCCAACTTCTTGGTGGGCTGTGCTGTACCGCTTGGCTGGAGAGCCTCTGGCACATGGCTTCTGTGGGTCTGCACCGCCCCTACAGGCCAGCTCCCTCAGCTCCATATTATTTATTTTTCTTTATCTTTCCCCTTCTCCATTTCCTTCTCCCTCCCACCTAGGCCCAGCGCTGCCTTTG